ACTGAAATCTCTTCCCAGTCAGCTAGAAATGAGTATTTAAATGCAGGCTAAGCTTTAAAGGCCCATTAATTAGTAATGGTACTGGAGGAGCAAGGTGACTAGATCGCTGAAATTGGGCAGAGTAGGCCTAATTTTTTTATTCTTATTCCATTTGACAACCTTTGTCCTTGAAAAGCACATTTAATCACTGAATGTGATAACTTGGGAGAACTTCAACATGGTGCCTGGCACATGAAAATCTCTCCATAGGTGTTCATTGACTCTTTCCCCTTTGCCTCTCTCTTCTTTGCTCTAGGTAGTCATTCATGTCTTTCATTTCTTTCTGAGAAAAGTGGCTTGAATGCCTTTGACTTTCCTCAACTTAATGCCTGTCTCTTTGGTAGTCCCCCTAGACTGACTATTGATTCCATTGATGGCTTGAGGCCACCCACTCTGGCTTCCTTTTGGGTCCTGCTCTTATAATAACCCCCTCTCTACTGTGCATTTTTATCCTCTCTTTTAATGTTTCCTACCCTTAGTCACCTAAGATACTCAGCTTAAAGTTCCTTAAACTTTCAATATTTTTCTAAGTTACTGTTTTCTTCTACTGTTATGGTTTATGTCTAGATGTTCCCCCAAAGCCTCCTGCTGCACTCTGGGGCCTTTGGGAGGTGACAGGATCAGGAGGTTGTGATTCGCATCTGTGGATTAGTCCACTGATGGGTTTATTAGCTAAATGTGATTTGGGAGGTGAAGGCCTGTTGGAGGAGGTGGGTCACTGGCGGCGTGGCTTGGGAAAGTTCTATCTCCTATACTCCTCCCTTGGCTGTGCTCTGCTTCAAGTGACCATGCCATGAGTGATTCTCCTCTGCCCTGCACCTCTGCCATGCTGCCCTGCCTTGGAGCTAGCTGACAATGGACTGAAACCTCTACATACTGTGACCCAAAGTATACTTCTCCTCCCTCAAGTTGTGATTGTCCAGTATTTTGTCTCAACAATAAAGAAAGTAGTTAAGACACCTACTAGTTACACTAAACTTCTCAAAAGAGTAATCTACATTCCCTCTGCTTCCTTCTCTAATATGACTCCTGGCCAATTGCATCCTGGATTCTGCAGATACTAGCACTGCTTTTCCAAGATCAGTAATCACCCATGCTTGCTTTGGCAGCACATATACTAAAAAAGATCAGTCATCACCTCCTAGCTACCAAACAGTGGCCTCCATGTATTATTCTTCTGCATGTCTGTGACATGTGATATACTTATTTATTCTCTTGATAAAATTCTCTTTATTGCCTTTATCTTTATCTGCTACTTTTATTTTCTGTGCTATTTATCATCTTCTTGTCCATTCCTCAAATATTGGTATCCTCAAGTGTCCATTCTTGGCTGCTTCTGTTTTGCTCTGGGTTAGTGTTTCTCAATCTGTGTGCACCTAAGGATCATCTAGGGGACTCTTTAAAACTACAAACCCGCACTGAACGTTGCGATGTAGGCCTGTAATCTTAGCATTTGGGAGGCTGACACAGGAGGATCACTGAATTTGAGGCCAGCCCAGGCAGCATAGTGAGTTCAAGGCCAGCCTAAACCACAAAGCAAGAGCCTGTCTCAAAAACAAACAAAACAAGCATTAAATTCCACCAAATCATTAGATATTTACCAATAAATCAGATTTTTGATCTCACCCAGAAATAGGATTTAGGCTGGGTTCTGGCTTTATTTTTTTCCATTATTCCTCAAGTGATTCTTAAGTGTTGCTAAGATTGAGATCCGCAATCTAGAATATCTTTTTTATCTTCAGTTCTTACCTCATTCCTAATACATAGCTCCAATTTTCCAGCTCTTTGCCGGAAATCTCAGTCTGAGTGCTGTGGAGTGCCTCACTTTCAACACTTTATTTGGTTCAAATCAAACTCATTATGTTCCAAATTCTAAGAATCTCTTTCTTTGTATTTATGGGGCCACCATTTTCTCTTGCTCCTATGCTAGAGATCTAGAAGTCATTTTTAAAAGAAATCTCTTGTGCTTTGCCTCTCAATTTGTCAAACCCTATAGATTTTATTGCTGACTCATTTCAAATCCATTTCCCCTATCACCAGTCAATGCACCATTTTTAGGACCTTATTAAAACAACTTCTTTCCTGGTTTCCCTCCCTCCAGTCTCTTTTCTTTTTATTCTATTTTCCATGTATTAGTGGAAAGATCTTTCTGGAATATTTGATCTGATGGTAGCCATTCAAAAACACCATGGATTTCTCTTACCCAAAAATAGAGTCCAAATTCCTTAGTAAGGCTCTCACAATTTGGCTCTACTTCTCCAAAGCTGTTCTCCTCTGTCTTAGATTCCTAATGCTATTATGTTTTCCCAAATACAGTTCTCCAATTATGTGTTTCTCCAATCATGTGTATCTTCTTGTCTTTGCTTATAATATTCTGACTAGGACTGGCTTTAACTTACATGGCTCAAATGAAGGGACTATTTACAGAGATATGGTCAGGGTAAAGGGAAACAACACAAGTGGTTGATGTAGTTAGAGACTAGCAAAGTGGGAGGCACTTACCTTCTCCAGGTCCAAAATATCAAGGGAATGAAATAAAGTTTTCACAGCTCAATGAAGGCTGGAGCCATGGGAAAGTGGGCCATCAGTAGGAGCTATATGCAGTGTTGTAACCCCTGCCACAACCACACAATGGTCAGTGAAGAAACACACCACTCTCTCTCTTCTGACCCTCTCATCTCCAGCCAGTACTGTGTCTTTAGTTGGCCAAACTCAATCAGAAGCTATCCAACCACCAGGGATGGCTAGGCGAGGCAGTGTATTGGTTATAAAGTAAGATACAGAATGGCAGAAAATGAATGGTAGTGTTAGGGAGAGAGAAATTAAATGGAGAATAACCACCTAATTCTCTTTTATGTATTGTAAAATCCCTATTATCTTTTAGAACACAGTTGAAATGTCATATTTGACTTGAAGATTTCTCCTATTTTTCTACTCCAAGCTTCAGTTATTCTCTTACTCCTCTGTACTCTGTCAGCTGTTGTTACGTCTTTATTACTGCAGCTGTTGGTCTGACTTACGATAAAATTATTTATGTATCTGCATCCATCACTTGCATCATATTTTGTGTTTCTGACAGAAAAGGATAGTACTTTGTTTGGTGCAGTGTCTTGCAGGTAGCAGGCACTCAATATGTTGGCTGAATTTTAATTGTATTCTCATGTTATCGCCTGCTCAGCTTTCTGTCAAGGAGAATCACATAGTCTTCACATTTTTTAAAGCATTCCTACTTTTCATGATGGCTTCTTCTTTGGCCCTGCTTCTACTTCTTGTTTGATTCTTCCCTTTCTCCTTACCTACATTTTTAAAGTTAGATTCTTATCTGCAGTTTACCAACAGATTTTTTGAAATACTGGTATCACTGATCCTGGAAATGGTCTAAAAATTGCCATCTTTATTCCATAATCTGAACAGTGCTTGTAAACACAGTTTTTCCTTAATTTATGCATGCAGCAAGCTTAAAAATGAAGTCACAGAACCCAAATTTTCATTCTTCATTGGACTTTAAACTCTCCTGAATAGAAGTTATGCTTGGCTTAATATGTTTTGCATATAGAAAAATCTGCTGCTTCTATTCTTTATAATTATCAATAGCAAATGCAACTAACATATTTTTACTATGCAAACACTATTCTATATTGTTGGCTTGGATGCACATTTTATGCCTTTTTGCTATTTTTGTATAAAAAGGGTTATTTTTAAACCAAACAAAAAATATGAGTTTTATGTATGTGATATTGATAATGATAGAAATAATGGGAAAGTTATAATTATAAAATTGTAATTCCAGTAGCCATTCTGAATTTTCATTTGAAAAATTTTATTTTATTTAACTTGTGTCTTTTAAAAAAACGTATCTATTTTCCCCCTTAACATGCTCCTAGTTTCCTCCGCTTTCTTACACACATGGAGTTAAACAGTTATACTGTTTTAGTGTTTTTTTTTTTTTTATGGTAGCAGGAATCAAACTCAGGGCTTTGCACTTACCAGGCAGGCACTGTGCCTGCTAAGCTACATTCCCAGCCCTGTTCTAGTGTCTTTATCTACTAATTTTATCACATGTGGCATGTCTGGGTCAGTTTGTATTAGTTTTTTTTTCTCATTATGGGTTTATTTTACCTGACAAATTTTAATTGGATTTCAGGTATTGTGAATTTCACATTGTTGGAGGTTGGATTTTCTTTTTTATTCCTTTGAATATTTTTGAGTTATGTTCTGGGATGCAACTTAAATCCCTGGAAGACAATTCGATCCTTTCAAGGCTTGCATTTAAACTTTGATGGGCAGAAGCAGAGCAGCTTTAGTCTAGGGATAACTTGGTCTCACGAAGCAGTAGCTTTCTAGTATATAACCCGAAGCCCAATGTATCAAAGTTTTTCCATTCAGAAGATTGGGAATGTGAGCTATTGCCATTCCTGTGCTGGCATCAGTACTTGTTCCTTCAGGGGTCTCTTGCATCTCAGGTAGTTTCCTCATGCACCAGTACTGAGATACTCAGTTTAGACTCAGTGGAGGTCCCTGCAAATCTCCAGAATACTCTTTCCCTTTGTGTAGTTTTCTCCTCTCTGGTAACCAACCAGACCAACTCCAGCTGTCTTATCCTCCCTAAATTCTGCAGTTGATCTCTTTGACTCAGGCAAACTCCAGGCTTTGTTGGGCTCCCTTTGCTTGTTCTGTGGACTGGAATCTCTCCAGGCAATAAGCTGAGGCAATTATAAGTTCACCACATTTGTTTCTCTTCAGAGATCACTGTCCTGTGAAGCATGTTGTCCGGTATCTGAAAGCTGTTTTTTTATTTTGTCTCATTTTCAAGAGTTTACAGTGCAGGGTAAATCAGGTCTCTGGTATTCCATTATGGCCACAGGAAAAAGTCTCAGTTTTGGTTTTCAAATTGGGGTTGGGGAAGAATGTTGAACCAATTTAGTGTTAAAAAAAAAAGTCAAAGTATGACCATAGCCCAGTCATTTATACTCTTCTTTGTTTCATTTTCCTCATTTATAAAATGAAGAGGTTGGTCTATTTGATCATAAAGTTCATCTCTGCCTCTTGGGCTGGGGTATAGCTCATGATAGAGCGCTTGCTTAGTATGTCTGAGGCCCTTAGTATGTTTCCATTCCTAGCATGGAAGGGAGAAAAAAAAAAGAAAAATAAGTGAAAGAAAAGAAATTTATTCTCTGTCGCTTAAATCTCTTAAATTCTTTGATTCTATAATTCACCATACTTGTCTTTCCAGAAGGAATTGAGAAGTAGTGCCCAAAGTGAGAGATTAAAAAGTCACTACTGTGGAACTCCTATTTTACCAAAAAAGAACAGTTTTAGAAAAGAAGATTTGAATTTTAATCAATGAAGGAGTCATTAATTACAAACTTGATAGGGACAATACAAACCCCATAGCACATACACATTCAGTGATCAAATAATTTGAAGATGAGAAAATGTATCGGAATATTCTTAGTTTTATTATTATTTTTACAAGGCCTAGCCATAGTATATTGAACATAGCAAGTGTTCAACAAGTATTTGTTGAGTGGTACATGAAGTCGTCTTCATAAGAGGGAAAATTGAGAAGCTTCCACCATAACAAAAGTAAAAATCCATCAATATTGCAATTGAGTAATGGTACATCCATATAACATAATATGATATAACATTGAAAATACTGAAGCACAATATTATATGGAACAACTTTTAAGGATATATTGTTAAATTTTTTAAAAAGATCATTAGGTACAATTTTATTCTTTTTATCTATATATTTCATAAAAGACAAAATGAATTAAAAAAGCAGTGTGTATAATAGTATACATATATATACTAAGGCAAAATACTACAGTACTTGTGTAATCAGAGAATATATCTAGAAGGATATATAATTGGTGACACTGGAGCTTCAGAAGAGGAGGACTGGGGGATGATGTGGAAGGGAGACTCACCTTTTCTTTTATGCCCTTTTCTAGCCTTTTTATTTATTTTTTTATTATGTGCACATCATCTAGTTTTTTAAAATGCTGCTACTAGATACATATTTATTTATTCAATGAACGAACTGAACTTCTCTAAAAGGGTAGATTTCCACAAATAAGTCTGGGAAAACTTCTCCACCTCTAGCTGATTAAGTTTACAGAAGCCAGATCACTCACTCTACTATTTCCTCAGGAAAGCATAGGGCATCTCCATGGCTCTGATTAATTTCTTATTCCTTAGGAAAAGAATTATCATACTGGAAACTTAATTGGCATCTGGAATATAATGTATGCTTGAATCCCTTGTAAAGGTCCTAGGGGAGAAAGAACAAGGTTATTTGTTTCTAATGACCTTGTACACATTCTATGGCATTTAGTTAACCAGTTTCATCTAACCCACTATCTTTCTGGCATTCAGCAGAGCTACTAAGAAAGTACAGGGGGCAGGAGCTGGACAGCAAGGCTGTGTAATTCATAAGATGTGAATTTGTGGCCAGTTTGCTACTTTCAAGTGCTATAGGTGATGGGTACATGTGTATGGAAGAGTGAAATAACTACCAAGTGGAGATGCTACAGCATTTTTGTTTTAAGGAGATAGTTACTCCTCCAGCAAACTATCTTAAGAATGACTTCTAGACATAGCCTGTGTTCTTATGAGCATGTGATGTACTCAGGTAAAACCCACGCAAGTATTCCCTGGAAGACAGGGTGAGAAATGGGGAAACATATGTGCAAAGCCAAAATTACAAAATCCATGGCTCATTATGCAAGTCAGAAAAAGTGCTAGGATTTGCTATTATACATCCCCAAGGCATTTTTCCCTGACGTTTTTATCTGCTTTAAAATTTCTGGTGCTGTTGCTGGTTTTGAATTCCTGAAATGTCATTGTAGCAAGTAGCTAGTCGGTGCATGAAAGATGCCTGCAAGATCCAGCAAGCCAGTGAAAGAATAAGATTCATGACTTCAAGAGGCTATTTTGTCATATGAGAGGTTTATTATGTAGAAATCACTGTAACTCATGAATAATAGGAAAGAAAACATTGCTGTTGGGGGAGGGGCACGTTATTTAAAATGGAGTGTTCCTGGTAGGTTATAACTAGCAGGAAGAGTTGTGGTTCTTCTTTAACCTGAGCCATAGATTAACAATTTGCCAAAAGGGGGACTACTACTAGGATTGTCTGATTTAGCAAATAAATACTGTAAGGAACATCTAAGTTATACTTGAGTTTCAGAAAGCAACAAATAATTTTTTAGCTTAAGTGCATTCCATGCAATATTTGGGACATACTGAAAATGATTCATTATCTGAAAGTCAAATTTAATTGGACATCTTGACAATTCTAACAGCTACACAGAGTATGCAGTAGATACATGATATGTTGCTGTCTTTCCCTCATCTTTTCATTCCTTCGTCATGAATTGCTATTGACATCCTGCACACAGCGAGATCTAATAAGGGGTGCTGCTGAACCAGAACGGAGGAATATGCTGCACAGTGAACTAATTTGGGAATAACTGTGAGATAAACCTCCCACTTGCCCTCAAATAAGCCAGATAGAGTCACCCTTAAATAGCAAAGAAGTTTACCCTTCTAATTAGGGTATTAAAGGAAAGGGTGATTGCAGAAGGCTGGAGGGCTTGCAGAAGTTTTGAGCTGTGGAAATTCTTGGAATAAGTAAAGGTGGTGTTTCCATAAACTGGTGTGAGATGGAGAACACAGGTGTGAGAACACAAAGATAGTGATTATATTGTTTAGGTGGATTTGTTCAATGAATAATGGAGGGTCTTGGAGACCATGTTAAGGATTTTGTGTTTACTCCATGAAGCAATGGGGGCCCTCTAAAGGCTTCTGATCAGAAAATGCAGATCAGAGCTGTGCTTTAGGAATATTAATCTGGCAGCTCTTTAGTGAGGAAATGCTATAGATGATGGGTATTAGAGAAACAGTGAGGGAATTGCAAAAACGGTGGAGACAAGGTTATCAAATGAGTGTAGGTCCATGTGGCACCTGTGTTTGAATCAGAAAAGACACCGCATGAGGGTATGCAGCCCAGGGCACATGAATCGATGCTAAACCAGGGATTGGTTTTAGCTTCCCATTATCCTCTTGGCCAATACAGTAGTTGGTTAATTAACACTAGTGACTTAATGTAATAAAGATTTATTTCTTGCCCACATCACAGTCCAATCCCTATAGAATGGCTTTTCTCCTAGTGGACATTTAGGGATCCAGATCATTTCTATCTTACAGTTGGACCATCTAGAATATGTAGCCTCTAAGATCATCAAGGCAGGGAAAGAAAGAATTGGAGGTTCTTGTAGGGACGCTTATGATTGGGTTTGGAAATAACTCACATCATTGGCTAGAACCTGGATTCAACCTTACTACGAAGGAGGCTGGGAAATAAGCATAACAACTTGTGCTGCTCTATGACAAGAAAGCATTGGAAGATGATTGGAGGAGACTGTAGGGATACTAGGGGATATGTGTTATACACTTCATTCAATTTTCATTTTGACTATAAGAAAGGCATAATATCCTTTCTCTTGTGCAAAACACTGTGGAGATTTAATAAGCATGTATGTCTATGAATTTGGAAAAATATGAGTCATAAATACAGGAGAGACCTCTATTAGCTAAATCATCCATGCTACTGTGTCAGAGCATGAGCTATTCATATCTAAAAAAATTAAAATATATATATATATACACATACACATATACACATATCTCCAACTTAGCTTCTACCTGTAAAAATTTGTTCTATTTTATCTGTGTGTGACATTTGATGAATGTAAAACGTATCACAGGACTTTTGGGAGCAAAGTGGTAAGGGGCCATTGGGAGACAATGAAAGGACAAAAATTCTTTGTCACAAAAATAAAAATTATCTGGGTGCAAACCTGCTTTCCAGAGCCTCATTAGCCTATCTGTTGCTATGTCAAGCTCAGGGGGAACAAACACATTCTTTGTATATTCAAAGTAGCTCAGACAATCAAAATAGGCCACTAACCGATCAGAATTTAGGCATATTGCTGAATATCAGCCTTGACACATAGTCGAGAATACTAAATACAAGGTCATGAGGAATCATAACCATACAGAGTTTAAATAAATATTTGAGTCATCTTTATGCTGTTCATGTCTTAGACTTTTTGGATAAATCTAGATTGTAAATATTAGAATTAGTTGTTGGATCAACCCCCATTTGGTCAAAAAAATAATATGATCACAACACCATATCTATCTGGCAGGAGCTGGCAAGTGCATTCATTGTAAGTTGTGGGAAAAAACCAATTAAGCACATTTTTATCTTAGAGGCACATAAAATATTAAAAGTGAACAGATTACATACATTAGGCCCTTATTTTAAAAATGAAGATTATTCCTATAAAAGGAAAGACAAAGTTAATTGTATTTCTTCAACTCTGGAATGTGGATATAACTATATATAAGGTCTCCTATAATATTTTTAAAATATCTACTAAAAATGTATTAAAAGCTATAAAAACTCCTTGGAAAATATTTGCAAGATCTAATGACATTGCTTTTTTAGTCAAATACTTTCTGTTGCAATAAAATTCACTTTCTTCATTTATTCATTCACTCGTGCATTCAATTAATAATTAGTCAAATGTCTTTCATAGACTAAGCACTGGTATTCTAGACACCAAGGAGCCAACGGTGACCTCCATCTGGCCATGATTCTTTGTTAGGACATTTAGCTTGTTTTGTAAATGAAATATACTAAAGGATCTGTTGTGCTCATGTCCACATCGCCTTGTATTTATTTGAGTTTTGAACACCAGTGCCTTGAAGTAGTTTGGAACAGAAGTAATATCTGACTCAAGGCCTAGAGACCTATGATAATGGCTCAGTAAAGAGACATGCAAGCCCACCAAGATTTTCATCCCTGGAGAATGTGAGTCAAGAAACTACTAGAATTTACAAGTTACTATTGTGTCTGATGCTGTGAGAAAAAATCAAATTATAAGGGATACAAAATTATGAGCAAGAAAAAATAAAAAAGTAGAATAAAGAATGGAAGTGAAAGAGAAGAGCAGAAATTATGTGAAGAAGGAGAGAGAAATGGAGACATGGAGGGCCAGGTCTCCAGTTGCCTCAATATTCAGTGGTGCTTGGGCTGCAAAG